TATAGCAAGCCTTGGATTGTGGGCGAGCTGTTGCCGTTGAACTTATATGTGATTGTTGTCTCATCCTCCTCCTCCGCCGGTCGCTTTGGTCGCCCCGGTCTCCTCCTCCGATGCACGTCCATTGTCGAGTTTTGTGCAAACAAACCAACTAACTGGCAACCATCATCAAATGCTTTTGAGTTAGTTGTCTTGTCGAGCTCGTTTCATAAATGAAATGCAAATATTTTGCTGTTTGTCACTCTTACTTTTTGTCTCTTTGTTAGCTAGTCTCCTCTGTGTGTATTTGTTGTTCTAATTTCGGTTGTTAGATGACTATGGTGCTAGCGGTTGCTTGAGAGGGTGTGCTATTTTCGTTGCAACGCATCGCATCGCATCTCTCAAACATGTCTGTCTCTGCAGTGCAGCCAACTTGGCCCCATTTTTGTTTGTTTAAGATGCATTAAGATAAAGAATAAAACGTTTAAAAGAGCGCTCGTTGCTATAAAAACAATATAAAATTGAATATTTAAAATAAACATGATATGTAAATACACCCAAAGGAATGCTCTCTAGTTGTAATAGTCTCGAGATAGAGGAGTACAGATGGACTGTTATGGCTACACAGATGCTTTGAATGAGTGTTATGGCAGAGTGTTCAATGTCTCTCAAGCTCAGTAAGTTTCTAATATTGACAATACGAAACACATTTAATATACATAAATATTAAAGAAATGTCGCTTGGGGAAGAAGTCTACGCTATAATTTAAATCTAACTTGATATATGTACCATGAAAACAAAAATAATACTCGAACTATGTTTATTGTCGCTAGCTGCAATAGTTTTTGTAAAAGAGGCGCTTAGACAGTCAAATATTTATCTATAATAAAAATATAAAACAAACTAGATCTCAAAACGATTAAAGGAATGTTATTGCAGAGTTTAATGTCGCTAGCTGGAATAGTTTTCCAAAAAGGAAGGTTCAGACGTGCAGATATGTCCACAATGCATATCCAGAACAAACTTTATATCCAAAAAAAGTGCAGGAATGTTTATGCGAGGTTTAATGTCTCTTGGCTTAAAAGTTTTCAAGAACGTGTGGTTCAGACGGACAAACACTTCTACTACTTTCCAGTGTACTTGTCTTTACTTGCATTTTCGTTTAAATCAAATCTAGTCGAAAACTAGAAACAACTATTTAGCCAGCTACTGATTACAGGCAGGGTATTATGAAGTCGACAACCTCAACACTGTTGCGAGCGAATCGTTGTCGAATATTGTCGTTTGTTTTTGTGATTCTGTTTTGTGGGCGTCGTTGGTATTTAGCAAGGGGTGTGGCAGCAGTCGCTCTCCTCGCTTTCACTTTCACATGCACGCATTTATCTATTTTTAGTTCTTTTTAGTTCTTGCTTCCGTCCGTGCATACGGCTGTTCGCTGTGCGCTGTGAGCGCCAGCCTTAGATGATTGGATGGATGATGATCGGCATCTGCATCTTGAACGGCCTAGACCCAAAAAGGCAGAAAGCCACTCGCCTGCCCGCCTGCCTGCCAATCGTGTTTATTGCGGTGCTGCCTAAGTTCCAAGTATTCCACTACCTCCCTTCCCCCCAACCCAATCCATCCATTTGTTTGGCATATAACTGCGCACTTTCTTACGACATACCTAGGGTTCCTTTTTGTTTTTTATGTATGCGGTCATTTGTTCCAAGAATCAATAAACTAACTGACTGGTGGTCAAGTGCTAAGGGAGCACAGGGCATGTAACTGAAGACTGTGGCACCAACACCTGCAACAGCAACAACAACACACAACACAAAACACAATAGGAACAACAAAAATCTACTGCTGCTGCCTATAAATATCAAGCTGGCTAAGCAACCCTTCGCTGCTTGAATAATTAAAATGTCGACCCGTGGTCGCAAACCGATGACGTGCGCGAAATTATCGACATGCAAGTTCAAGTACAACAGTAAAAAAAAAAAAACAAATACAACAACAACAGCAACTCATTTGCTATGTAAATTGAAGTTGGCTCTCCATAATGCTTGTTGCTGTTATTGTATGAAAGAAAAGCGAGCTTGAGGGTGGGGGTGGTAGGGTTGGGGTTGGGGTTAGCGTTAGGGTTAGCCGGTGACGATAAGCCCTGGCGTCAAAGTGAAAGACAAAAGTCATTGCCAACGTCGCAATCGCCATCGCAATCGCGTTGATTGTTGTTGTTGGGCTAAAAATTGTATGTTTAATAAATAATCCACAAAAACAAAAATAAAGAAGCGCCATAGGGCTGTCCTTTACCGGTCGCTACCGTAATGATGGGTTCAGTATAATGCGGATAAATAAGAAAAAATAAGCTAAAGAAGCAGAAAACACACACCCTTTACTGCTGCCTGCCATACGCGTAACCTTCTTTTATATTGTGGTTGCGATGAAAGTCCGACCGCACAGTCAACACCGGGTAATTAACGCTAATGCGGGGTCAAATGGGCAGAGATGATGGCCAACAGATGGCTAGAGATGGGAAAAGGAATCAGTTTGCAATCAGGAGTGGGCATTGCGTTGATAAGTTTGAAAGAAGAAAACGAAAAGGTGGTTTTGCGGTACAATGGGCTCGAAATAGCTATTACATCCTTTATGAGTTGTTCGCGCCTCGGAATTGAAGATCTTCGTTCGATGAAAATCATCTCTATATTTCTGGTTATTGTTTTCTCACATTTTACTTGGACACAAGCTACCTTTTATAGAGTTACAGAAAGTCACTAAAAGCAGGGAAATAGGAGTGTGCCAGAAGAAAAAAACATATACTTGAACCCTAGACTGTCCAGAATAGGAGAATATGAATACAAAATTTGGTTATTCTAGCTTTTGTACTTTCTGAAATCTATGCGGTCATACAGACGGACAAACTGTAACAATGCATATAGTTTTGTTTTTTAAATATTCTTGGGCCCCGATTTATGGCAATGTATTTTTCGAAAACTAAAAAATCGAATCTTAATTACAACTCTTTTTGAATGTTCTCTTTGGTTGCATTTCCATTTAATATTTGTTGGGAAGTAAGTTCCACAAAGTCCGACATTCAATCAAATAAATTAGAAATAAGATTTAGAAAAAAGCGTTGTGTCTGTCTTAAAAAGTCTTAATCTTATCTAAAAATGTGTTATTGCTAAGTTTTATAATTGAAATGTATTCAATTGTTTTTAGATTTTAGGTATTTCTCTAAATGTGTCAGGAAGCAAGATGTGTTTGCAAAAAATCTACCTGGGTAGCAGAGCTTTTAGGGTATTTATTGGACCTTCCTTTGATGATTGACATTCAATTATGATGCCTGTTTGAAGTTTTGATTGCAAGAAATTGCAAGGATATATCGTATAATAGATGGCTTTTTTTTTTTCTTGTGTACGGAAAGCAGAGTTGCATTTAGATGACATTAAAAAATGAATGGTGCCGTTATCAGCACAACTGTAATTGACTTTGGCGCGACTGGCGCCAAGGAGCAGACGCAACAAACGTTAAATATATTTAGATGTATGTATGTATGCAATATCATATACATATACATATATATGCATGTATATAGATATATAGAGAGTCCGCCTTATTCCCGCGTGGCATACTTTGTTTACTCATCATAGCTGGTTGCCGTTTCTTCACCCCTTCGTTTTATTCGTTTCTTGGTTTGTTTATTTTTTGTCGTAGTCGTTGTCGTGGTCGTCAACTATGTTGATGATGACACTCCTCTAATTTCCGCTAATGCATTGGTTGTTGGCTTTGTCCTTTGTTGAGTTTTGTTCCCCCTGTTTTTATAACTGTGCCCATAAGCAGCGGGGTCAGGCAACGTTGTGTTGGTTGTAGTGGTCGTTATTTTTTTGCAAGGGAGAAGAAAAAAACAAGCCATAAAAACAACAAAATTTTCCACTGTTTGCACTTCAGAAGCAACTAAACGGAATTGCTGAGCTGTTTCTTGTTGTTTCTGCTGTTGTTGCTTTTATACACTTGAGCGCGTTTTTTTTTTACTATACATATGTATATATTTAATATGTCAGTTTACACCCCTACCCCACCTCAACCCCCCTGCCGTCGCCATTGAGATGTGCACGGCTTGTCTTGCCATTTTTCCTGCCTGCCGCTCATTTCTTGTTTGATTTAACACCTTCGCTTTACACTCCCAATAAATTTTCGTGCCCTCCTCGCATCTGCCCTCCAACTGCCGGCCGCAACACCTGTACTTCTGCTCGTCGTGATACATAGTAGTTGGGTTAACAGCGGCGTTGGCAGCGGCCTGTGCATTTGTAAATAATCTGAGCAAAAAAAAAAAACAAAAACAGCAGCCCAACAACCCTCCGTGTATCCCCCACCCCATATATTTTTTTTGTTAATACAACCGAATAAAACTTTAATATGATTATTTTTTAAATGACGCCCTGATAAGATTAACTGAAACAATTGTATGCTCTGTTTTGTGGTCTGATCTTGTGTTGATGCGAAAAGTCGGGGAAAATGTGCACTGCGCACTGGGCGTATACGTAATGTGCATTGCGCATACGCCCCGTATGCTGTACGGTTGAGATAAAATTATGTGTAAGCTGCCCACGCAGCTCAGCAACACACAAACACACACACATACACACATTTCGGCATGTTGCTCTCTCACCTCATTTTTAGAAAGAACTTAAAGCAGCTTTTGACTTGCATTTGCACACGCTTCTACACACACACACACACACACACACTCATACATGTTTGCATAAGCAGCTCCCCCTGTCGGAGCGCTGCTAAAGACTTTCGCTTTTGGCGCTGGCCGTTGTTCTACCTACCTCTGCTTCTCTTTCTCTACCTCTCTTTGCCTCTCATACATACTCACGCTCGTATACTCAGTCAGTCAGTCTGTCAGTCAGCCAGTTTTTTAGCCAGTGACGACGACGCTCTTACGCGCTGTTCCATTGCCAGTCGTTCCATTCAATGCGTGCTGCTCAACCGTTTGCACGGCGCCTTTGATATTTTTAATTTCAGTTCATTCGCGACCTCATAAGCGGGCACATGTTGCTTGCTTGGCACTACCCTACTACCATAAATACGATTCACCGCAATCACTCAGTCGGCAACAACAACAACTACAACAATAACAAAAAGAAGCCAACTTTAAACGAAACGCAAGCAACGAAGCAATAACAACAACCACAGCAACAAAAGAAACACTTCAGTCAAAGTAGCAAACTAACAACGTTTTAGTTTCCAATTTTCTTTGGCCTTTTTGTTGTTTTTTTTTTTTTTTCTATTTGGTCAACGAATTGCGTGCGTGAAAACTTGTTGTTTCTTGAATTTATTTATTTATTTATATAAACATATATGTATATATACTATATGTGTCTGCGTGTGTTTGTTTCTTATGGTGTGTGCCTGGGGGCGGCATCGTAGATATTGTGTGTGTGCTGTTTGTTTTATAAAAATAGATGCCAATAGATGAATTCAAAAAGTGCACAAAAATAAATTAAAATATTTTCACATAATAGCAGCAGCAGCAGCAATAACAACAATATAAAAATTAAAAATATACAAATTTAACAAATCAACAATCTTATTGCGAGCAAGAAAATTAAGCTAATTAGGCAAATTAACGCGCCAAAAATTAATTTCGTTGCGAATTTGTGAAAACAAAATTTTTGCAGGCAATGTGACTGTCCAAGCAGCGCCCCAGTTAGTGAGTGAAAAGCGTGGAAAAGCTTAAAGCAAAAATAACAAAAACAATTGTCAGAAGCAAAAAACAAACAATCAAAAAAGCGAGAGAAGAACTCCCAAGACATTAACAAGCAGAAAAAAAAACACAAAAACAAAAAGCGAAAGCAAAGGCAGAAGAAAAAAAATACTCAGAAATCGAAATTAAAAACCGATGGCAACAACAACAACAGCAGCAGCAACAGCCGCCGAAGTTGCAACAGCAACATCGTCCAAAACGCCACAGTTGCAGTTGCAATTGAAGTTTCAGTCGCCGTCGTCTGGAGCCGTTGCCGGGGCCACCAAATGCAGCAGTGCTCCGATTAAAATACCGCTAAGCGAGCGCTTCTCGACGCAAACGTCGACGGGATCTGCGGACAGCGGCGTTATTGTGAGCAGCGCCTCGCAAAAGCAGCTGTGTGCGCAGTCCGCCTCCCAGACGCTGCTGCCGCTGCACCCAGTGCGCAGTAGCTCCGGTTCGTTGAGTCTGCATGGCACACAGCCCAAGTGGCAGAAGCAGCGCCAACTGCTCTCCCAGGACAGTGGCATTGAGCATGTAGGAGGCGGCAAGGGTCAGAAGCAGCCAGGGGGCAGTGGCGGTGGTGCCGGCGGCAGTGTTGGTGGCGTGGGAGTCGCCGGACAGAGCAACTCCAGCAGTGAATCACTGGGCGGCGCCTCCACCAAATACTCCTCGGAGGATGGCGGCAGCAGTGGCACAGAAACGGGCATCGGTGTACGCGGACATGGGCGGACACGCGCCGCCTCTGCCCTGGAGCTGAGCAGCGTAGCTGCGGCCAGCGCGGGCGCAGGTGTGGGAAACAGCCTCAGGCGTATCAAGTATAAGAGCACCAATAGCACCGGTACGCAGGGCTTCGATGTGGAGGATCGCATCGAGGAGGTGGACATTGGCGATGACGACGACGACGATGATGATGATGTCGATGTGGATGATGAGGATGATGGCGTGGGTGTAGACGAGCCCGATGTGGAGGAGGAGGAGGACGAAGAAGAGGATACACAATCGGGAATTGTCATAAATATAGGTGCACGAGGGGCTGATCAAACAGATGCTGGAAAATCCATCTCCAAAGATGCAGTGCCGCAATCCCACATCTCTGGCATTGAGCCCACACTGACGGTGGCGGCGGCAGCGGCCAAGCAGCGCGACATCAAAAATCTAGGCACCGACGGCTTCATCTACTTCCCCCTGCTGAAGATAAGCGAAGATCCATACATAGATGCCAAGCTGATCAATCGCAAGGATGGACTGCAGGACACCATGTACTATCTGGACGAGTTCGGCAGTCCAAAGCTGCGCGAGAAGTTCGCACGCAAACAGAAACAGCGCGCGGCCAAACAGCATAAGTTGCAGATGAAAAGGGAGCGGGAGGAGCAGCGCAAGAAGCGTAACACCACAGTCGCCTCCAATCTGGCGAACATCAGCAGCACCACCAACACAAGCACCACCACCAAAGATGCGCATGCGCACCACTGTGATAGTAGTAGAGTGATAAGCGAGGCGGATGCGAGTGCGGATGCTGATACCGATTATGTTGAGGGTGTGGTTAAGATGCGTGGACGCAGCCACAGTCACGACATTCGTCATCTGCAGCACCACCACCAGCACAGCGACGAGGACGATGGCGATGATCATGAGAATGATGATGACATTGAGACGGCCGCGGAGCCGACGCTGGATGGCGGCATTGGCGGCGGCAGCCTCGAGAACGTTAAGACTGCTAAACTGGGTAGAACCCAATCCTGCGTTAGTTGGACCAAAGTGGTGCAAAAGTTTAAACATATTCTAGGTAATTTTCTTGCCCCCCGCAAAAGAGTATCCCCCACAGAGTTTGCACAGATTTCGCTCTAAAAATAACACAAAAAAGAAAGAAAAAACTAACGAAAGCAAAAATGTACACCATCCTAAACTTTAATCTTAATATTCTTCTTCTCTTCTCTTTTTAGGTAAGTCTTTATCGATGACCTCCACCACCGTGGGTAAGCCGCACACAAGCACTATATAAAAAATAATAATAATAATAATAATACTTATATGTTTACGAAGCGCGCCTAGCTTCTAGTACCATAGTATAACTTTTGATTTCCTCTCTGCTCTTTAATGATCAATCTTTAGACTCCTCGACTTATCGGTTCAGTCTCTTAATCCGCTCTATAACTTGTCGAGCCAAAGTTTACATTTTTTTTACTTTAGTTTCTTTTCACATCGATGTTTAGTAACATGGAGCTCTAAAGCACTGAAAACCTCTATATGAAAGGTTCCTCCGATGTCCTATAATTACAGTTCAATTTTCGCTCGTTTTATAATATCGAATATCATTACTCCTGCAACTTTTACAACTTACTTCGGTTCGGAAATCAATCAGACTTTTTGATCCACGATTTAAGTGTTCGAAACACCTTCAACTGCGTAACGAATAGAAACCACGATTCGAAGCAATTTTCATCACTCGTTTTTCAACTTCTATAGCAAAATGAATATTCACAGTAATATGGAGCTCTAAAGCATTACAAACCTCTTGACATTACAAACATTTGATCCAAATGTTCTGAAATTCCATCTCATTACGGCTTTTTGCTCTTTTCATAATGTTAGTTTACTCACGATGTGGATTTACTATTTAGTCGAGGACATTCCATCAAATCGAACAGCTCTAAGCACCTCAGTCGGTTGTTGAGTGTTAAGCTATTAGAGTACGAATATAATGGAAATGATTTAAATATATCTTCTTTTTTTTTTTGTGGGCGTTTCCACATTTGTTGAAATATGTTGTGAGGATGATTTATTTATTTACAGTCCATAAACTGAAAATGGAATGCAATCGCCATTTAAAACATTTATAAACTGAAAATTGTTTGATAAAGAAGTATCGATAAAAGTCCAATTAGAAGATAATGCGCTGAGGTACTTAGCAGTGTTTTGTATCTATATTCAACTCCACCAGCTGGTGGCAATGGGAATGAAACAATTGGAATGTGAGGAATGCCACTTAAAACATGAAATCGCCTAGTTTCGCTAAAATAAATGAAATGTAGAGCAGTTGGGCTCGTATGTGTTTCGTTTTCCATTCTCCCATATCTTTAAATTACAAAATAAATCAGATTTTGATTTTGAATGCATTTGTGGTCGCTATTTATGTAGTCATGTGTGCCAATTCCAATTTGTACCCACATCAAACGGACATACTTTTTGTGATGTGAAGCCTTTTTTTTTTAAAGATTATATATACAAGTATATATATTTGTGCACTTCTTGTTTATAACTTGAAAGTCAAAACCCTTTTTGCGCTTGCCGTTGTTGTTGTTGTTCTTGTTGACAACGGAAATGCAAAAGGAAGAGGGGGGAGACGTGGGTTGGTCGAGGTCGAACGCCGGGGCTTCTTTGTTGGGCATTTTCATTATTATGTATTGATGTCGCGAGTCGAAAAGTGGAAAATCATCGTTTGCTCAGTAATGCTGATAAGTGAAAGCGGCGACATGCCACGCCCCGCTGCCCCATGCCCACCCAAAACAGGCCACATTGTTGCTTTGTTGGTGTTGCCGTCGCTGCTGCTTGGTGACGACTGATAAGACGCTCACAAAAACAGCAACAACAACAGCGACATCTGATTTATGCCAGCTGACTATTTTTTTTTTTGTTTTTTTTTGCGCCTTTATTATTGTTGTATTTTATAATTCTACTTACTTTTGTTTTATGATTTGCCATATATACGCTTATATACATAGTACATACATATATGCATACTATATGTAGCATATATGTAGTATACATATATTATTCATATATGTATGTATTATGTGTGTGTGTGTGTGGCTTTGTTTTATATGCGATCTTCCTGCACATTACTGGGCGCTTTGTTGTTGCTAATGTTGTTGACTCGATGACTCTACAATTCGCTCTGATATTTAAAAGTGCTCCATGATTTCTATAGCTGCTCGTTGGCTTGCTTGCTTGCTTGCTTGCCTCAGGCAGGTTATCACATAATCCCCAACCAACGCCTGACATTTTGAACGACACGGCGGACACAAAGAAAGCACGCGCTACTAAATCACATTCAGTCAGCAGCTCAGTGCTCCCCTGCCAAAAAACAAAAAATTAAACATTTCATTTATATACGTGTATATATAATAGTATTTAATTTTTGATGGAACCATAATCTTTGGACTGCAATTCCCCCCTAGTCGAAGCCAGCGTTGAGGGCAGATTGTGAAACACCTACTTGTATATGAAGTAATCCACCATTTCTGTTGACTTGACTGACAAAGCATTTCCACTTTTCGTTTTTCGCATTAGAACATACAAATTATGCGGAATTGAAATTGTTTATTAGCTTACAAAACCAAATAACTCGTGTGATTTCGGCAACAACACCTACAATACCACACTATTCGATGGAATTCAGAAATGAGAAAAAGTCAAAAAGTTCATAAAATGTAGTGTATTTATTTGAACATTGCTTTGATATCGATATGGTGTCCCAGCTAGCGACCAGACGGGCATTTATGCTTTAAAAAGCACTTGTTAATACATAATATTATAATATTTTGTTAAACCTGCGCAACAATTGAAATTACGTCGCAAAACATTTAATGACTTACGTTTAATAATTTTAAAAGCTTTTCCAATTACATATGTATGTGTGTCACGTTTCCACCATGCTTAGGGAGTGCCTAAAAGGCTTATCAGTTATCGATCGGACTGGACGCCCAAAATGTACGAGTATATTGTTGTTGTAATTAGGTGCGGTCTATTAAACAAAAACATATAGTATTTTAAAATACTTATATTCAATCAAAAGAGTTGGAAGTTGAATGGAATTTTCCGATTAGAAAAAAAAAAAAATTTCACAAGTGTGCTAATTTTTTTAACCCTAGACTGAAGTCTTTTTTCCTGCAATAGCAATCTACTTCGGAAGAAGCACAAATATCTATGCTACCAATTTGCATGCCTGACTGCTATTTCTAGCTATAAAATAATGCAATATAATGTTCAATTGATCTTAGCTTTATAGGAAATTTTGTATCACATGTATTCTTCATAATAATTCGAACAATTTTTCAAAACTTCTGCACACAAGGTCCTTCATTTATACCTAGAGCTGTTTGCTTGTTTGAATCTTTTTATCTGAACTGTTGAAGGATATTTCTAAACTTTACTTGTTTCATACACGAATTGCCATTTTTCAACATGACAGTATTTGAAATGTACTTTTCGCACAAAAAAGTTTCTGGAACTTCTAATTTTCAATCGAAAGAAAACAGAAAAAAATTTCAATATTTTTGAGAAGTTTCTTTATCTATTAAAACTCAACCCAAAACACTGTACAGTTCACAGCAGTGTTTATTGAGTGATGAAAAGCTTAAATATTCTTAATCACAAACCAAAACTTGTTTCGTGCCACGAACTACGTCGAGCATTATCGAGAAGAACAGAACACACAGTGTTCGAAATTGTAGAGCACATCAAAGGCGATGTTGGCGACAAGAATAGCAAAAGCGATCGGCACGTAAAAGCAAATGCCATAAAAATAGAAATATATACATATGTGCATATACTTGTATAAAAAACAAAAAACAAAATAATAAGAAAACAGGGGCGTGCCTCGCCATAAGTTGCCACGTTGTTTTCGATTTCGTTGTTTTTTTTTTGGTTTTTTTTTTTTTTTTTTTTGCTGACCACCGTCGACATCGCCTCATAAAAGGTCTCCCCGCTACTCACCCCCAGTCGCCGCATCATCTCACTTGTCGTTTTTGATTTGATATTTGCTGGGGGCCTGCGTAACTAGCTGCGACAGCTGTTCCAAAGCGTTCCCACCTCTCCTCCCCTCTCCCCATCGCCCCACCACCACCACCACTACCCCAGCCTGCTTAGCATTAACAGCATCATTATATTCAGACATCAGCCATCAGCCGTCAGCTAGTTGTTTACTTGTGTTTATGTCAATTGTCAATGAATATACGCACGCCAGTATATTCTCGGCGTCTGCATACATACTATATATTCCAAATTGTTCTTCTGTGACTAGCCGTGGGCTGGTTGGTAAGCCTATTTCCAGATTAGATTAGTGGACAAGTCCCCAGCAGTAGCTGTGAAAAGTTCAGTAAGGCGCTCAATGGCTTACCCTCCACCCCAGTACTTGCCACGGCCTTGCCAACAGTCAACAGTTGTGGTGGCGGTACCTATTTATAGACCTCAGTAAGTTGGCTAACCTTTAAGTAAAGTCTCCTAGTGCCCTGCAGTTCTTCAACAAAAACGGCACCACTTACAACAAAGGTGACTCAAATCGTAGTTCAGAGAGTGCCTTCTTCGATTTCTCCACAGCAGCTCAACAGCTCTGCTTATAAAAAAGGTCCAAATTTCTGAAAATTGCTGAAAATTTCTTTTTTATTAATAATTCTTAATAATTTCTAAAAATTGTTTATTTATTCTTTTTTTTTTATTCGTAATTATTATTTTGTAATCAATTTATTTATTAAATAAATATTATTTTAATTATTTTTAAAAGATATTTTTAAAGTTCTTAAAATTTTCTTGGTGTTGGATATCTTTTTTTTTTTAATGAGTTTTAATGTTTTGTAGAAGAAGTGATTTTCTTGAACTAATTGCTGGTAGTTGAAGTTGAACAAATCTAGTGCTAGTCATCCATTTAACAACATAGCAGTCGATATATGAAAAATTGATAAATGTTAGTATTCATATAATTTATTCTCCAATTGAAGTTGAACAAATGAAGTTTTTAAAATCTGTCTATTCGCCATACATACTCGTACATAAATTTTCAAATTTGTT